GGGTCTCGAACCCACGGGCTCAGGCAATCCACTCACCTCAGCCTCTCAAAGCGCGGGATTACAGGCTGAGCCACCGAGCCTGGCTAGGTCTTACCTTTTAACTCTTCTTTTTTTTTTAAATCTTTTTTTAAGTTTTAGAGTTGTTGCATACAAGTGGGGATTTACTCTATAAGGAGATTGCAGGCAGGTGCAGTTTGGGCTTCTAGCTGGCCCTGTCTCCTGACAATGGACCAGGAACCCAGTGTGTTGCCATGCTTCCTCTTCCCTCTTCCTCTCTCCCTCCCTCCCCCAGCACTGTCCAGTGTCTGCCAATCCCACCCTTGTGCTAGCATAACCAATGATCAGGGCCTGCTTGTGAATGAGAGCATGCTTACATTTATCTCTTAAAGAGAGCAGTTTCTCTCGTTTCTGGGCTGTAGGGTGCCTCCTTGTGGCCCCCCAAAACTAACAGCACTGCTTAGGTAACCGTTGTGGAATGTCACTGTCAACAAAAGTCTGTCATTCTGATTTGGGTACGGACATTTCAGCTCTTTCAATTGTAGTGTTGTAAAAGGATAGACTCTCAGGTAGTGAGTGAATTCCAAATGACCTACATGCATCCCTACGATGTCTACTTGTTAAAGAGTCAAACTCTGTTGGATGTTGCCAAACAATCCAGGTTCCCTGCTTCTCTGCCACAGTCATTGTCGGGGCTAATGTCCCTGTAGAAAAGGTCTTGTAAGTTTTAGATCTTGCAGTGACAATAATTCCTTGCATTTCTTGTTTGACTCCACTTGGAGATATTTTAAAAGAATACTTAGAACAATAGATATTTATATTTTAAGTACTTTCAACTATTTAATAAAAACCACCAGCTATAAATTATTAAATGGTACTTAACACAGTAATGCCGGATGTGTCCCAATGTTGGCTAAAAGAGGTTTTCTACATGTGGGAATTTTCAAATTAAATGAAGCATCGCCTTTAGTGTTAGCTGACCATTATTTTGTTGAAAGAGTTTCAGAACTGTCTCACATACTTCTTTTATCTCTTACGGAGGACAGCCCTTTGAGGTGGCACCTGCAGTTGGCTTTTGCTGTCAGGTGTCTCTTCCGTTGTCCTTGTATCATGCTAGTTGCTACAGCCATTTAGATCTGTTACTTCTCATCTGTTTGTCCCGGGAAACTGTATACTGTATGCCCAAACTTGCTGGAATTGAAGGACCTGAGGGCTTTTGCTTTAAACGGTGTTTCTTTGTATGTTCTAGCAGTCACTTTGGTAGCATTGACTTTTAGCTATTGGGCGTCTTTATGCTTAGACTGTTGGAGTTGTTTATAATTTATATTTTTATCTTAAGTATTATACAACATTAAAGCAATTTCTTTTGTCTCCCTCCCTACTCAAGGCTTTGATGACAGTAGGAAAAGAACCGTTTCCTACCATTTACGTAGATTCACAAAAAGAAAATGAGGTAGGGTGAACCACAAACTTTGCAGAATTATGTTTGGTGAATAAATTTTCATCAGGACATAGCGGTCTTGAAAAAATTAATTACGGGCTTCTCTCTCCAGAGGTGGGATGTTATTTCTAAATCACAGATGAAGAACATCAGAAAAATGTGGCACAGGGAACAAATGAAGAGTGAATCACGGGAGAAGAAAGAGGTGAGTTGCAGCTTGCCCCTGGGGATGTTTGTTGGAGTCTGAACACTGGAAACCATGTTCACAGACTGCTTGTCATTAAAATTAGGCAGAAGACAATTTGCGAAGAGAAAAGAACCTGGAAGAAGCAAAGAAGATCGCCATTAAAAATGACCCAAGTCTCCCTGAACCAAAATGTGTAAGTTTGCTTATCATTTCAAATATCGGAGACTTAGCTACATCAGATCATTATTCCTGTGTTTGAGGTGCATGACACATGGTTTATTCTTTCACATTTTGTTTCTACTTTCCTTTTAGAAGAATTACAGAGAAATGACGTTTTAGAGTCGTAAGGCTAGTTCTTTAGGTGTTGATTTGTCACAGAGTTTAGTAATTCTTGTGGAATGAACTAACCGAACCCTGGCAGACCTGGGACCTGGGACCCACCCGTTTTGCTGTGTGCTATGGGCAAGTGCTTTTATCCATTCTTTTTTTTCTTCTCACAAAGTCTTGCTATGTTGCCTAGGCTGGTCTCGAACGCCTGGACTCAAGCGATCCTCCCACCTCGGCCTCCCAGATTGCTGGGATTACAGGCTTGGGCCATCACACCTGGCCTTCAAATATACATTTCTAACTTTAGTTTATTCATTCATTCATTTGCATAGAATTAAGTTATGTATCTTAAATTAATTTTCACTTAATATCTACCTTTGGCTAGTGGCTCTGAAACTGGACAATTCTAGATTGCACTGGCTACCTGGGACCCCAGGATTCCATAGCCACAATGTCCCTGAACCTACTTCTGCAGGGCCAGCGCAGACCTCTCCTTAGGTCCATCCTGGGGCCTGGAGAGAGTACAGGGAGGGAGGGTGGAGGGGATGGCGTGTGCATAGCATGGGGGTGACGTGGGACTGCCTGCCCTGTCCATGAGTGTGTGAAGCCCCTCGCAGTGCCAGATGGGTTGGGTGTGGGACGAGGAGGGTGACAATCTGGCTGGAAGCCTCAGGGGTGGCTGAATGACTCAGCACCGTGGATTAGAGGAACTCTGCCTGCCGTAGCCATGTCGGGCACTGACCACTGGGCAGCCAAGCTGCTGCTGTGTTTCTGGAGAACTGCTCTCCAGGCCCTTCGCCTCTGCAGCTGGTCTGCCTCTCCATCTCCCTCCCTGTCACTGGCCAGCCTCTGTGGGGAGGCTGGGTGGAGGCTCCAGTGCTTTTGGGGGTGAGGTCTCAGGAGGCTGGCACCCTGGGCTGCATAGACGCAGTGTCCTCTGTCTGTTGCTTCTCTGAGCTCCGATTTTATCCATTCTAACGTCAGTTTCCTGATAAAAGGGAGAGGTTGAAATCCACAATTTTCATGGTCTATTTACATAGTTAAAATTTTTTGTGATTTTGTGAAATTGGTTTCATTCTTCTTCCTGCAGTTCTTTCTAGAACCCACACAGATTGCTGGACTGTGCTTGGGCATAATTTGATTTCCCATAGTTTTTATTGCTGATGAATCGTCATATTTTCCTATTTCCTAAGTGATAGAGCTGTTTTCTTGGCTACATTCACCAGCCCCTTCCTTCACTCTTCTTCTCCTTTCTTCCTCCTCCAGAAGCTAGGCTTTTTAGATTCCAAGTTCTAGATTGTGTCGGAAAAGGCTCCCTGCATACTGGGGTTCTGCTGCTGGGGGGAGACGGTGCTCTGCTTCTGACAAACTGAATTCATTTATTAATTGATATTACATAGCAATATCTGAAATTCTTCTGAGTGTTTCTTGTTGCTAGTTTTGTGCTAACAAAAGAAGACTTGGATTTTTTTTTTTTTGAAAACCGTTCCAATACAGTGAAATGTGTCGATTCTGACCTACAGCAGAGTGACTGTCTCCAATTTTCCATCATTTGTGATTTTTCTTTATCACTTTACTACCATCCATCTAATATCAGTGAAGAAGCTGGTATGCACAAACGACATGAGTGGTCAGATTTTATTTATTTTCTTTTGGCAGGTGAAGATTCATGCATTGGAAAACTGTAGAGGCCAAAGAGTAAAGGTATTTGGCTGGGTCCACAGGCTTCGGAGGCAAGGTGAATGGTGGAGTTGCTCTTTCTTGTTAAATATTCCTGATCTTAGATGAAGAAAAACGGGAACGTTAACTTGGAGTTTTTTGTGTGTTTTGTTTTGTAGGCCGGCTTTTTTTTTTACTCTAAGAGAGGAGGCCCTCCCTGTGTTTCCCAGGCTTAGTTGAGCCTCCCGCCTTGCCCTCCCACGTAGTTGGGACTATAGGCACGTGTCACCACACTGGACTTTAAAGGATATAGTTATCTATATTCTATGTTTGTTCTTGCTTAAAATGACTATTGAACATTTTTTAAAAATCCATGGTAGCGCACGCCTGTAGTTCCAGCTCCTTGGAAGGCTGAGGCGGAAGGATCGCCGGAGCCCAGCAGGTGGAGGCTGCGGTGGCCGGGAGCGGCCACTGCACTCCAGTCTGGGTGACAGAGTGAGACTCCAACTCAAAAAAATAAAAAAAAAATCCTAAATGCTGTTTTGACTAGCAACCACAGTGATGAGGAGGTATCTAGTCATTTTTGTCAAATTTGAATTTTAATTATTTAATGAAAAACAGGGGATATATTTTAGGACACTCAGATCCCAATCTGAAACTTGGCTATAGTTTTGACTCTGATAATCAGTATATTTGTATTCTACTTCTCCCTTGGTCTTGACGTTTTTTTTCCTCTTTCCCTTTTTATTATTTATTATTATTATATATTATTCTATAATATATTACACAATTTTTACAGTTTATTATTTTAGCTTATTATAAGTGGCTATCAAATCTTTCTTAAAAATGAATGGGACAAAAAAACAATTGAAGTGACTTAAAGAGATCTCAGTAAAGGATCTTTGGGGAGGGGAAAACGTATACGAAGTAGGACAGAATTATGAAAAAGGAGTGATTCTGTTCAATGGTCTTTGTGCATTTCCCACAGAGTTTACCTTCCTTTGCTAGAAATTGCAGAAGATGCCAGGGTGAATAAGTCATAATCCCTTCACTTATGTTCCTCACTAACTTGCTTTCCCTTGGTCACCTGGATCATTGGGATGACAGGGGATTGGAAAGTCCAGTAAAGCAAAAATAAAATCCTTTACAAATACTGAGTAGCAGTATTACCCATGGGTACCAGTGGGAAGGGAGCCGTGTGGGAAGGTTGAACTTCCAGTGTTTACCCTTGAAGTTAACTTATTATGAAAAAGAACCTGTAATTCCTTGAGAACATTCTGACTAAACTTTTACTTCTCATTTTTAGGAAAGAATTTAATGTTTCTGGTGTTGCGGGATGGTACAGGTTATCTCCAGTGTGTCTTATCGGATGAGTTGGTAAGTATTTTATTATTTAAAGATTATATTTTTAAAATAGGTTTCTTTATTGTTGGTTTTGGCAATTCTAGAATCTATATACATTTTTAAACTTATTATGTTCATAATGGATAAATATATCAAGATGTTGTGTTGTGCATCACTAAACACATGCAGCTGTTATTTATTAATTATGCCTTAATGAAGCCAGGGAAAAACTTTTATTATGGAAGATTTCTAACACATAAAAAAATAGAACAGTGTGAAGACTCCTCACTAGCCTCAGTAACTTCTAATGTATGGCCAGTTCTGGTGTGACATTGACCCCCAGACGGATCATTTCATTAAAATACAGTATTTTAATGTAGCCACCATTGTCACATCCTCCCTGAAATTAACGCAGCTGCTGAGTTAATAACCATGTTCTCTCAGTTCATAAGTGCCTTTTTTTAGCTGGTTGATTTGAATGAGCATTCAGACAAGATCCACATGCTGCATTTAGTTGATATGACTCAGAAATGTCCTTCAATCTGTAATGGTGCTCCCTTTTCATTCTCTTGTCTTTCTTCCCCCTCTTGCTATTTATTTCTTGGAAAAAGCCTGGTTGGCTGTGGAACTTCTTACACTCTGGCTTTGGTTGAGCATATCCTTGTGGTGTCATTGAGCACGGGGATCCTCAGCCTCCAGGCTACAGACCAGCACACAGACCTGTATCTGTCGGTGGCCTGTTAGGAACAGGGCCACACAGAAGGAGGTGTGGAGGGGGCAGGGGAAGTGGAACTCCGCCTCCTGCCAGGTCAGCAGCAGTATTAGATTCTCTTAAGGGCTTGAACCCTATTGTGAACTGCGCATGCAAGGGATCGAGGTTGCATGCTCCTTATGAGAATCCATGGCCCTGTGGTTTCTCCCACACCTCATCCATGGAAAAACCATCTACCACGAAACCAGTCCTTGGTGCCAAAAAGGTTCGGGACCACTGATTTAGCATGTTCCTCTAGCCTCTGTATTTTTCATAAACTGGAGGTTAGGCCTCATTAGGTTCAATTTTTTGACATGACTTTTTCTTGGGAAAGACTGATTTTCTAGTTGCATCACATCAAGAGGCATGTAAGTTCTGGTTGTCTTTTTTTTTTTTTTGAGTTGGAGTCTCACTCTGTCGCCCAGGCTGGAGGGCAGTGGCCACTCCTGGCCACCGCAGCCTCGACCCGCTGGGCTCCGGCGATCCTTCCGCCTCAGCCTTCCAAGTAGCTGGAACTACAGGCGCATGCTACCATGCCCGGCTAATTTTTTTTTATTTATTGTGGAGATGAGGTCTCGCCAAGTTGCCCAGGCGGGTCTCAAACCTGCGGGCTCAGGCAGTCCACTCACCTCAGCCTCCCAAAGTGCTGGGATTACAGGCTGAGCCACTGAGCCCGGATTTGGTTGTCTTTTCTTATGGCTAGTGCATTCAGATGTTGACAACCTGAGTCCTCCATTTTAAAGTTCCCCCTCACTTTTCTCCTCGTGAATTTAGCAGGAATTGACCATCATAGTGTGGATGGGCTCTGTGAATTGTTTTAATAAAAAAATAAAAATAGTCTGGATATTTTTTATTGGTTTGAGTCAGTACTATTTATGCATATATATGTAAAGTGAGTATTTACATATATGTGTCTGTATAGCAAAATTTCTACCTTCCACAAAAATAGCTTTTCTTTATTGATATTAAAAATCATCAGCCATCTCATTCCTTATTTTACTAGTATTTGACCGGATAATGTGTTTGTAAATAATCCCTTTAACTTTCTATATGTTAGCCCTTTTGCACTCAGATGTCCCCTCTGAGGGAACATCATAAATCTAGCAAACCACTCTGCTGTCCCCCCTTGTTGATTATATAGGATAATTTCTCAAAAATGTATGCTTCCTTGAAGTTTTCCACTCAAATTGCATGAAAAAGTAAATAAAGAGATGGAATATATACTGAGATATACGTAAAAAAATATCAGCTGATGTTACGTAGAAAGAGAATGTGTAGAGTGCTTTCACAGTGATGCACAGACAGGACAATAAATTACATATTATTAATGTGGGAGCAAGAAAACGAGACTGCATTGTCTGCTTGAATAAAAAAATACCAGGTGGAAGATATCAAGCAATTTATTGCACAACATATATCCATGAATCTGCAATGCATGTTGGTGACTGTTTCACATGTTAGGAAATGTTAGAAAAATATAAGGAATACGGTCTTGATTGTTATGTTGTAAATAAGTTCCTCAATGCCCAAAATTCCACTAGAAGTGAAATATCATTGCAATAAAATAATTGGTTCCAACGCTATACTATCTAATATGAAGTGATTTGTTCTTTGGTATTCCATAAAACAGTGCTGTTGAGTTACTGGTCGGTGATCCGCAAGACATCTCTGACTGCAAAGGGTTAACATTTTAAAATGTCAGTGTGAGTAACTAAAATTGAACTTGGATCTCTTTATAGTGTCAGTGTTACAACGGAGTAGTCTTGTCCACTGAGAGTAGTGTTGCAGTGTATGGAATGCTAAATCTTACCCCGAAGGGCAAACAGGTGAGTGACTGGAGTTCCTCACTGGGTAAATGAACAGGCATTTGCTTATTTTCCATGTCTTTGTACTTTTGTTGTTTGGCATATAAATACACAAATGTGAAGCACATTCCAAATTTGGTATTCCTTTTCCAGGGAAATAAGTGCATTATACAATTCATGTGATAAAAAGAATGCAGGGACTCCTAACCTGACAGAATTCCTGACTAATCCTCATGAGTTATAATATAGCTACTTTGCTGTGGGTGCATGAATTACTTTTCCGCTAGGTAGAAATAAGAACCTGCCTAGCTGGGCTAGGTGGCTCAGCCTGTAATCCCGCGCCTTTGGGAGGCTGAGGTGAGTGGATTGCCTGAGCCCGCGGGTTCAAGACCTGCCTGGGCAGCAAGACCTCATCTCTACAATAAATCAAAAAATCAGCCGGGCGTGGTAGTGCATGCCTGTAATTCTGGCTACTCGGAAGGCTAAGGTGGAAGGATCGCCGGAGCCCAGCAGGTCGAGGCTGCGGTGGCCAGGAGCGGCCACTGCACTCCAGTCTGGGCGACAGAGTGAGACTCCAACTCAAAAAAAAAAAAAAAGAACCTGCCTAAAAATTTTCCAAGAAAAATAGTAATCTACATCTGAAACTGAATAGAATTTGAAAGCTTTTTTTTTTTTCTTCTTGAGTCAGAGTCTTGCTTTGTCTCCCAGGCTGGAGTGTAATGGCACGATCACAGCACAAGTCAACAGCAGGCTATTAGTAGTTAAGTTTCGGCGGAGTCAAAAAAACTCAGTAGACCTGGATCAGATATTCATTCTTTTATTTTTTTTTTTTTTGAGTTGGAGTCTCACTCCGTCGCCCAGGCTGAAGGGTAGTGGCAGACTCTAAGCAACCCCAGTGTCGACCCACTGGGCTCTGCCAATCCTTCCGCCTCAGCCTTTCAAGTAGCTGGAACTACAGGCGTGCACTTCCACGTCCAGCTAATTTTTAAATTTTTTGTAGGAGCGATTTATTGCTATGTTATCCAGGCCGGTCTCAAACTACTGAACTCAAGCAATCCTTCCACCTCTGCCTCCCAAAGTGTGAGCCACCACACCTGACCTGAAAACCTCTTTTCTGAAAAGTTCTAAATGGGCATGGTGGCACACACCTATAGTCCCAGTACTTGGGAGGTTGGGGCAGGAGGATCACTTGAGCCCAGGAGTTTGAGGCTGCGGAGAGCTACAATCACTCCACTGCACTCCATCTTGGACTATTGAGCAAGACATTGACTCTTTAAAAAAACAAAAAAGGCAACTAAATATAACTGATATTCAGAGAGCTGTTTGTTCTTAGGCAACAGGCACAATATAACCTAAGCCAGTTACGGCTGCTTTTTGGTAATTAAAGTTCAAATAACTACTGTAAGTATACTAGTTGGCTAGGAAAGGAAACAAATGAATGTGACATATTAACCACAAGAGGGAGCAAACAGAGTCCTCTTATTGAAACGCTAGTAAAAGATCTCACAGAGTTCATGTAAAAGAACCCATATTAAGAATGAATATCGGCCAGGCTCAGTGGCTCAGCCTGTAATCCCAGCACTTTGGGAGGCCCAGACGAGTGGATTGCCTGAGCCCATGGGTTCGAAACCAGCCCGGGCAACTTGGCATGACCTCATCTCTACAGTAAATCAAAAAATAAAATTATCTGGGCATGGTAGCACGTGCCTGTATTTCTGGCTACTTGGAAGGCTGAGGTGGAAGGATTGCCAGAGCCCAGTAGATCAATGCCGGGGTGGTTGTGAGTGTGCCACTGCCCTTCAGACTGGGCGACGGAGTGAGACTCCAACTCAAAAAAAAAAAACAAGACTGACTATCTGATCCAGGTCTACTGAGTTTTTTTGACTCCCCCAAAACTTAACTACTAATAGCTTGCTGTTGACTTGAAGCCTCATTGATAACATAGCACATATTTTGTGTGTTACCTGTATCATGTATTGTATCCTTAAAGTAAGCTAGAGAAAGGAAACAGTTATTAAGAAAATTATAAGGAAAAGAAAATATATTTACTATTAAGTTGAAAGGGAGTCATCTTAAAGTTCTCTTCATCATTGTCTTTATGTTGAGTAGGCCGAAGAGGAGGAGGAAGATATATTTCAATGATACACGTGTATATATGTGTTAACTCCGGAAGCAATATTAAATGTTAAAATCTCAATCTAAGACTAAATTTTTGGGTCTGTTTTTAGAAGGGTAAGGCTGAGAACGATGAGGTTCTTAGATATTTTTGTTTGTTTTTGAGTTGGAGCCTCACTCTGTCACCCAGACTGGAGTGCAGTGGCTGCTCCCGGCCACTGAGCCTCGACCTGCTGGGCTCCGGCGATCCTTCCGCCTTAGTCTTCCAAGTGGCTGGCACTACAGGCGCACGTTACCACGCCTGGCCAATTTTTTGATTTATTGTAGAGATGAGGTCTCACCAAGTTGCCCAGGCGGGTCACGAACCCGCGGACTCAGGCAATCCACTCATCTCGGCCTCCCAAAGCGCGGGATTACAGGCTGAGCCACCGAGCCTGACCAAGTTCTTAGATATTTTAGCTAACCAAAAATTTGGACATACATTCCAATCTTCAATACTGTTAATTTTTTAAATTTCCTTGTTTTTTCTGACCCCCCCGCCTTTTTAAAAAAATGTAGGCTCCAGGGGGCCATGAGCTGAGTTGTGACTTCTGGGAACTAATTGGGTTGGCCCCCGCTGGAGGAGCTGATAACCTGATCAACGAGGAGTCTGACGTCGACGTCCAGCTCAACAACAGACACATGATGATCCGAGGGGAAAACATGTCCAAGATCCTAAAAGCGCGATCCATGGTCACCAGGTGTTTTCGAGATCACTTCTTTGATAGGGGGTACTATGAGGTAAGTGTGTGTTTGTCAGCTTTTGCAAACAAGACCTTTTGCCACTTTGAAACTGGAATGCTGGTGCTCACAGTAAGCCCTGATGGACTCCCTCCTTCCGTTTGAACAGGTTACTCCTCCAACGTTAGTGCAGACGCAAGTAGAAGGTGGCGCCACACTCTTCAAGCTGGACTACTTTGGGGAAGAGGCATTTTTGACTCAATCGTCTCAGTTGTACCTGGAGACCTGCATCCCAGCCCTGGGAGACGTTTTTTGTATTGCACAGTCATATAGAGCAGAACAATCCAGAACGCGAAGGCACCTGGCTGAGTATGACATTGTCTTTTTAAAATTTATTTTAAAGGATATCTTCAAGCCGGGCTCGGTGGCTCAGCCTGTAATCCCGCGCTTTGGGAGGCTGAGGTGAGTGGATTGCCTGAACCCATGGGTTCGAGACCCGCCTGGGCAACTTGGTGAGACCTCATCTCTACAATAAATCAAAAAATCTGCCGGGCGTGGTAGCACGTGGTAGTACCTCAGCTATTCGGAAGGCTGAGGCGGAAGGATCGCCGGAGCCCAGTGGGTTGAGGCTGCGGTGGCCGGGAGTGGCCACTGTACTCCAATGCAGCTGCAGGAAAATCCGCACAATTTAGACTCCACCCATGACTCCCTCCTGCCATAGAAGGTCCAACTCCCGTTTCCGCCCTGCTCCACTCAAGCACTGTAGTTGTAGCCGGAGTTTTTCTACTAATCCGATTTTATCCCCTCTTAGAAACAAACAAAATAATCCAAACCATTACACTATGCTTAGGGGCTATTACCACTCTATTCACAGCAGTCTGCGCTCTGACACAAAATGACATTAAAAAAATGGTCGCATTCTCCACCTCCAGCCAATTAGGCCTTATAATAGTAACTATCGGCATTAATCAGCCCCACCTAGCATTCCTCCATGTCTGTACCCATGCCTTCTTCAAAGCCATACTTTTCATATGTTCAGGGTCTATCATCCATAGCCTAAACGACCAACAAGATATCCGCAAAATAGGAGGCCTATTTATAACTATACCCTTTACCTCTTCCTCATTACTTATTGAAAGCCTTGCTCTTACAGGCATTCCTTTCCTTACAGGCCTTTATTCTAAAGACATTATTAAAGCTGCCAATATTTCATATACCAACGCCTGAGCCCTCTCTATTACACTACTTGCTACATCCCTAACAGCCGTGTACAGCACCCACATTATCTTCTTCGCACTCCTAGGCCAACCTCGCTTCCCAACTTTAACAAGCATCAACGAAAACAACCCCCTTCTAATTAATCCCATTAAACGCCTAGCCTTAGGCAGCATTTTCGCAGGATTTCTCATCTCAAATTCTATCCCTCCCATAACAACCCCACAAATAACTATACCCTCATACTTAAAATTCTCAGCACTTATTGTCACCGTCTTAGGCTTTACACTAGCAATAGAACTCAACAACCTCACATATTTCCTCAAACTAAAATATCCCACTCAACCTCTCCTATTTTCTAACTTACTAGGCTTTGTCCCAATTACAATTCACCGCCTATATCCTCTTATGAAATTATATATCAGCCAAAACACAGCATCCTCACTTCTAGACCTCCTTTGATTAGAAAAAATAATACCAAAAAACATAACTAAAACTCACATATACACATCCACAATCACCTCCAACCAATCAGGCATAATCAATAATCATAATCTGGGCGACAGAGTGAGACTCCAACTCAAAAAAAAAAAAAAAAAAAGAAAAGAATATCTTCAGAGAAGAAATCTTTGTGTAGCAAAATGATGTTTGTACAAAAAATTATGATATAGTTAGAGGATAATGGAGGAGATGTTGAGAAGTTGTCCCTTCTTGGGCCATCGCTGAGGTCCGTTTCTTCACTTTGACTTGATCTTTTCTGTTTTATGGAACACACACGAAGTCACTACTCAAGGGGGAAGAGGGAGTCAGAAACTAGTTTGCAGAGTTGGGATTTGGTTTCCATTGTTGGAATTTAGTTGAGTGAACGATTTCCCCATGTTAAAATTCTTGCTCCAAAGAACCAGCCTAAGAGAAGAGCACCTCTAAGCTCATGTGTTCTCCTGCAGATACACGCATGTGGAAGCCGAGTGCCCTTTCCTGACCTTTGAGGACCTCCTGAACAGATTGGAGGACTTGGTTTGTGATGTGGTAGACAGAGTCTTGAAGTCACCAGCAGCGAGTATAGTGTATGACCTCAACCCGGTAGGTGTGGGAGATAAGAGATTGTCATCCTTTTTTGAAAACAATGAGGTATTTACCCTCAGCTTTTGTAGATTTTATGGCTTGGTGAGCTGAAATAAGTGACTGATTTTGAAGACTGACGTTTGATATTAGTTATCACTGATAATTTAGTAGTATTTTAACTTATATAAGAAGAAGTCCTTATGTTTTTCATTTTAGGAACATCACATGGTTTTCTAGTCTGAAACAATATTTTATAATAATGGTAAATAGCTTTTTTAAAAAATGGTGACTTTAGTGTTAGTGGTTTATTTATATACACTGTATTTTTCCTTTCTACTATAGAACTTTAAGCCCCCCAAAAGACCTTTCAAACGGATGAACTATTCAGATGCTATCGTGTGGCTAAAAGAACATAATATCAAGAAAGAAGATGGAACTTTCTATGAATTTGGAGAAGTACGTGTTCCTTTCTGGTCATTGTTTCAAAGGTGGTGTTGTGTGAGTCGCTGCTTCTGCTAATTAACTAGTAATGCTGGAGACATCTGCTTGTCCCTAAATAAATGGTAGAAAGAGAACCTGCTTCGTGGGATTGTGTGAGGATACACTGAGATAACAGATGTAGAGTAAGCCTTATAACCGTACCATTTCTATAGCGTTCGATAAGTATCAGGGAATTTTTAGCCTTCCTACCCATCTCATTCTTGCCTCTTTTCTTTCATTGTTGTTTCTTGGCCTCGCCTAGGCTAAAAGGGATGTTTTAGAAGGTTCTGACGCCTTTGAAATTATATGCAGAGTGTTGGTATATGTATATATTTGTCTTGTTTTTCTGGAGAAAGTTTTATGCTTTCCAAAGGGATTCATTCCCCTCCCCACCCCCAAAAGAGTGACTAAAACTCCTTTACACAGAAGGTAATCCAAAGAAGACAGCCACTGGTTAAAATACAAAATCAGGAGAGAAGGCCTTGGTGGGGAAGGTAAACTTAGCATTTTGGTTTTGCCTGAGAACCTTCTTCCCAGCATGCATTAGGGCCGCAAATTGTCAACACTATTTCAGGCTCTCTTTGCTGTGCATTTAATTACTCCTTACATGATGTTTGCAAGTCTAATTGTTTTACAGGTGATGTGTAAGTAGCCACTGTTTAACTAGAGTTTGGTTTTGGTTTATAGGAGGAATTTATAGAGAGAAGAAGCAATATACTAGGTCTATATAAAGCACTCTTGTTTTGTGAATTCAGTTTATGAGACATAATAACAAAATTTTGTACTGAAACCTTGAGGGGCAACCCCTTCGGGTCCCCTCCCACTGTGGGAGCTTCTCTGTCCTCTCAATAAATCCTGTTTTCTCAAAAAAAAACCAACCTAAAAAAACCTTGAATACTTTTAGTATACCTAATACTTAGCAAAGTAGTGTGATAGAGTGGAGAAAACACAAACTGTGAAGTCAGAAGGGCCTCCTGAGGTGGGCTTAGCCCCGACCTCTCTTCTTCCCTGCTGAAGGCCAGTGACCCTGCACTCTGGTCCCTAATCTCTAGTCTGGAAGTCAGACCCACTTTGCAAGGTTGTGGGCACTACAGGAGCCCAGTGCTTAGCAAGGTCCATGTCACAGAGAGCCCTCACCCTCAGCATTTACTATGTGTAGCTGTCGTCCCATACTCATGAGGATGCTAGAGTAGATAAATGGCCCCAGACTTTCCGAGGTGTGCAGTAAGGCCTCTCTCCCCCTAACTGAATCTTACGCAGAACCCCAGTATGTAAAGCCAAGACAAGCTAAGAGATCAGAGCTCTCCTACTCGTCTCCTGTTTCCTTTCTGCCCCTCTGAGGAGGTGGGGCTCCAGGGACCAGAGCTTGAAAACGTGCGCCAGGTAATTGTCAAGCTTCATGACAGTTCTTCCGTTGCACAAATCGATGCATCTTGTCCAATTCTCTCAGTTTTTACTGGGACAAGAGTTTTCAGTGTTAACTTGAATTTATGGGTGGTACTGAAGGATGTTTTGAGAAAGAAACTGATTAACTTGATTCATCATCCTCTAACATTTCTTGGCTAACTATTCAAGGTGTGGTTGCACTTACAAATTTGACATTGGTTGTTTGTCTTCTGATTGTGTCTTACTATCATTGAAGGCATAGCTGATTGAGTATAACAGGAAAAGAAGTGCAGATAACAGAGTTTAAAGATTAGTGTCATTAATAACATACTCCGTAGATCAATGATGTTCTGGAACATCATTCACCGGTTACCTTATGCCTTATGGGACGAAGTGGGCCACGTTTGCTTCAGAGCGAGACAAAACAGGCCACTGAACAGAATAAGTGGGCAGTGTCTAGCTACAGCTTGGGGTTTGCTTTTGTTTGTATCTTTTTGGTATTCATTCCTCAAGCAGCATGGTGCTTGAGATAGACTTTTTTAAAAAGGCAGATCTTTTTAGTTCATTTAATAATTGTGTGAGTTTTTAAAATATGTTGATTTCTTTTTGAAAGAAACCGCAAAGGGCTGGCGTGTCTTCTCAACTGTGCTGGGTTAGTAGGAGGAAAGGCTGGTACAGGGTGAAGGTGCTGCTTCTGCCTCACTGCGTTTCACATTGTGAATGTTAATGAAGTCTTGTTTCACCTCAGGATATCCCAGAAGCTCCTGAGAGACTGATGACAGACACCATTAATGAACCAATCTTGCTGTGTCGATTTCCTGTGGAGATCAAGTCCTTCTATATGCAGCGATGTCCTGAGGATTCCCGTCTTACCGAATCTGTCAGTCTGTGATTCACAGTATTAGTTGTTTTGCTTTTTAAGGGGTGGGGGCTGTCATCGCATAGAAGATACAGCTCATGGCAAATATTATGTGTCTCGAATGACAATATTTAACAAAGTATTGTTTTCATTTTTTAATTTTTCCCTGATTGGGATAAGCATGCTTCGTTAAAATGAGAGAATCTAAATAGTACTTTTTGGGTTTGTTTGTTTGTTTGTTTGGTTGCTTGTTTTTTTGAGTTGGAGGCTCACTCTGTCGCCCAGGCTAGAGTGCAGTGGCACGCTCAGGGCCACCGTGGCCTCAACCTGCTGGGCTCAGGCGATCCTCCTGCCTCAGCCTTGCAAGTAGCTGGAACTGCAAACGCATGCCACCACACCCAGCTAGTTTTTGTGATTTATTATAGAGACAAGGTCTCACCAAGTTGCCCAGGCTGATCTCGAACCCCTGGACTCAGGCAGTCTTCTCTCCTCAGCCTCCCAAAGTGCTGGGATTACAGGCTGAGCCACTGTGCCTGGCCCTAAGTGGTATTTGAATTGCGCATGATCACAGTGCCTTCTTTAACCATTGGAGCTTTATTGTCGCTTTCAGTCGAAGTCTATAGCAGTGCCACATCTGATCGCCTGGTGGTAACTGCACATCTTATTTTTGTTTGCATTTGAAGGTTGATGTGTTGATGCCTAACGTGGGTGAGATTGTAGGAGGCTCGATGCGTATCTGGGATAGTGAAGAAATGCTGGCAGGTTACAAGAGGGAAGGGATTGACTCCACCCCCTATTACTGGTATACAGATCAGGTAAAACTTTTTTAAATGCTCTTTAAAATTTTGGTGTTGTAATAGTTCTGTATACATTGACATTTTTAAAAGGAGAGAATTCAGAGTAGTACGTTGGTATTTGAATGAGCTGTATACTGTTTCCTGGTTATAATAATGTGCCATGTGAACAGTGCCAGTTTTGTCTTGACCAAGTTTATTTCTTTTAAAGACCTCCTCAACGGCTGTCTTTGTTTATTGCAGTTGAGTTTTAAAAACATGTCATTAGATCCTACTGGTATCTAGACCTGGCCTTCATTTTCCCCCGATGAAGAGACATTGGCTTAGTTTAAAAGTCTGAAATCTCTTTTTTCCGGGGTGATATTAATTCCTGGTTTATTTTGCGTATCAAATCATTTCTTTACATATGGTACACGAAGGCATACAGATTAAGGGTTGAATTGAGGTGAACTCCTCTTTCGCAGTGGAAAATTTTAACTCTTTTAGGTGAGATTTTAAACTAAGCATTCACTCCTCTCTCTTTCTTTTCAAACAGAGAAAATATGGCACATGTCCTCATGGAGGCTATGGGTTGGGCCTGGAGCGCTTCTTAACCTGGATTCTGAATCGGTATCACATCCGCGATGTGTGCTTGTATCCTCGATTTGTGCAGCGCTGCAAGCCTTAGCCGACTCTTCCTAAGCCAGAAGGAAGGGACATGCTCACGAGAGGAGCAGGTTGCTTCTTTCAGCAAAAATAAAAAGCCAGACTCTGTCCTTTTTTGTTCCATCGAGGCATATCTGTTTTGGTTTTCTCTTTCTGTTTTTTGATTCCTGCTATCATAAAAAGTAGACCAAATTACTTGGAGTATCAAGTGACGTTTATGTTGCCATTTTAAGAAGAAATATCCATTACAAAGTTTGGGGGAAGAATGTGGTATGTAACTCTGTAGTTATGGATACATTCAGGATTTTGTCCAATTATCAGTCATGATCTTTGGATTATATATAATATATATACAATTAAGCAGCTTTAAGTGATGGTCATTTCAGTAACTTAATCTTTCTGTCTTTTTAAGTGTAACTGGAATGTCTTATTTAATTGCATCAGTGAGTTACAACAAACATCTTGGGGTGGATATTGGCAATACGGTGTAAAAATCTGCTGGTATTAGAATCAGGGCACAATTCAGTAGTAGCTATTTCAATCAAATGAATAGTCTTTTGTATTAGCTATTAATCTTTTATAAATCTGCATAGCTACTTATAATTCTGAGGCATAAGAATTGACATGGAAGAATTTGTAAAAATGGAATTGACCTAATGAATTTGAAGTAAAAGCATAATTTTTGAGCGTTAGTTTAACCCAAAGAGACAGACCGATCTTCCCTCTTTCCTGGTAATTCCTAAGTAATTAAGAATAAACAAGTTCCAAAAGAATTTGCAGCCAGAATCCTAATAAAGCCTGTAAGTGACTGTTTGAGGGCCTCCACCACGTCCTTAGATCTAATCTTTGCCACCTTATTAACTCACAGCAGGCTCATTGAATGGCTTCATTTCAGATTTAGTTAATGTCTCCCCCAAATGCATGTCCTGTATTCTCAATAGGCTGTATTCCAGCAATCAATAAATGAATACACGTAAAAACTCTTTGCTGGCTTAATTTTCTTAAAGCTGAAAATCTGTCTCACATTAGTTCATGCCTTTTATATTTTTTTAATCTTTATTTTGTATGATGTATATATGTAAATCAGATATTGCTAAATTGAGTAGGTATTACTACTGTTACATGGTAATGAGAAGGAATTATTTTTGAAAATAAGATATGTAGCCAGGCTCGGTGGCTCAGCCTGTAATCCCGTGCTTTGGGAGACTGAGGTGAGTGAACTGCCTGAGCCCATGGGTTTGAGACCCGCCTGGGCAACTTGGTGATACCTCATCTCTGTGATAAATCAAAAAAATCAGTGGGCATGGTAGTGCATGCCTGTAATTCCGGCTACTCAGAAGGCTGAGGCGGAAGGATCGCCGGAGCCCAGCAGGTCGAGGCTGCGGTAGCCGGGAGCGGCCACTGCCCTCCAGTCTGGGCAACAGAATGAGACTCCAACTCAAAAAAAAAAAAAAAAAAGGATATGTGGGGTCTAGTTACATCTATTTGGTATATTTTTGTGTTATTTTTGGACAAGTTAGGTTCTGTCCTGTTTTGCATTTGAAATGGGGCATTTAGTCTCCTTTGCCTGTGTGTTTAAATAAACAATACTTGGGCCAGGCTCTGTGGCTCAGCCTGTAATCCCAGCACTTTGAGGGGCCAAGGCGAGTGGATTGCCTGAGCCTGTGGGTTCGAGACCCACCTGGGCAACTTGGTGAGCCCTTGCCTCTACAATAAATCAAAAACGAGCTGGGCGTGGTAGTACACACCTGTAGTTCTAGCTACTTGGAAGGCTGAGGTGGAAGGATCGCCAGAGCCCAGCAGGGTTCTGACAACTCAAAAAAATAAAAATAAAAAAATAAACAATACTTGGATGAGTGTGAGTGAGCTCTAGATGGCTTCATGTAGGCAATTCATTTGGTCAGAATTTAAGTGAAGCAGTTAGGCTCAATCAGCCTAAATTTTAACTGTTTGAGAGTCTTAAAACGCTAAAGAAGAGCCAGGATAAGACAGATATAAGGGAGTCAAGGTCGTGGTGACCTCAGGCCTAGAAACCAAACATGGTGAGTGGCAGACCTCAAGCACATGGACTTCATCTTCTCACTGTATGTGGTAGTCGCCCTAGTCCAGGTGTTGAAAGTGCCACCCCAAGTCCCCACATGCTTGGGCCAGCTGACAGGCACCTCTAGTTCTAAGTGCCTGCTCTCTTGGGACTCCGTTGTCAACGGACTCTTATGGCATGGCTCTTTCCTCCCTGAATCTGTTGCTTTTCATACCCCAAACCCCCTCACGCTTGGCACTTGACACACCTGCTCGTCGTTTTGGAGGCAAACAGAAGGCTAATTTGGATTACTCAAATATCAACTTGCCCTCTTCTGAGAAATCCCTCAGCCGTTTCAAGTAACCCCGTTTTCCACCGTGTGATTCAGTGGCCTTCCACCTTGCTGCTTGCAGCAGTTTCTAAGATTGTTTCTTCAATAGAGTAGCACAGCTCTATGAGACATGACGTTGGGATCCCTTGGGGAATCTTAAAAATAATGGTGCCTGGGCCTTACCTCACACCAGTTGGAACTGCATCTCAGGGGTGGGACCGCTATTTATTTATTTTTGGGTCGAGGTCTCACTCTGTTTGCCAGGCTGGAATGCAGTGACACGATCTCATCTCACCACAGCCTCGACTTCTGGGCTCAGGTGAGCCTTCTTTTTTTTTTATTTTTACAAAAATGTATTCTTAAATGTACAACAGGCTTCAAGACAACACCTCATTCTAGCTATAGGTGGCAAAAGAAGTTATGTCAGGAAATATAGATGTTTAATATGAATGGAATCAAGAGTCGTCATGGCTTCGGGAACAAGGAACAGCTTGCTTTTTGCCAGATTTCTTAATTCCACCTGTGGCCAGGGGGCCTTTTCCTCCTCGAGTTTCTTCTGCTTTTTTTTTGAGTTGGAGTCTCACTGTCACACAGACTGGAGTGCAGTGGCCTCTCCCGGCCACCGCAGCCTTGACCCGCTGGGCTCCAGCGATCCTTCGCCTCAGCCTTCCAAGTAGCTGGAATTACTGGCATGCGCTACCACGCCCGGCTGATTTTTTGATTTATTGTAGAGATGAGGTCTCGCTGCCCAGGCGGGTCTCGAACCCGCGGGCTCAGGCAATCCACTCACCTCAGCCTCCCAAAGGCGCAGGATTACAGGCTGAGCCACCGAGCCCGGCTCTTCTGCTCTTTCTGTCTCGGCTTGAAAGCTTTATCTTCCTCGTCCATCTCCTTGGCCTGCTTCTGGGGCTGCTTCAGGGGCTTTTTCTTGCCACCTTCCTGGCCAAACGTGGTTCCTGCTACCCTTTCCCCTCAGGTGATGCTTCTACCTCGGCCTCCTGAATAGCTGGACAGGCATACACTACCATGCCTGGCTAATCTTTTCAAAAATTTTTTTATTGTAGCAATGAGGTCTTGCTATGTTGCCCAGACTGGTCTCAAACTCTTGGGCTCAAGCAATCCTCCTGCCTCAGCCTCCCAAAGTGTTGGGATTACAGGCAGAGGCCACTGTGCCCAGCTAGAACCAGCATATTTTTAAAAAACTCTGCAAGTGAGGCTGTTGCAATGTGAGGTTGACAGTTTCTCTTTTTTTTTTTTTCTTTTTTGAGTTGGAGTCTCACTCTGTCACCCAGGCTGGAGTGCGGTGTCATGCTCACAGTCACTGCAGCCTCAACCTGCTGGGCTCTGGCAATCCTTCCGCCTCAGCCTTCTAAGTAGCTGGAACTTCAGGCATGTGCCACCATGCCCAGCTAAGTTTTTGGTTTATTGTAGAGATGAGGTCTCACCAAGTTGCCCAGGCTGGTCTCAAACCCGTGGGATCAGGCAATCCTCTCACCTCGGCCTCCCTTAGTGCTGGGATTATAGGCATGAGCCACCGCACCCAGCCTTGGTTGACAGTTTCTAGGTAGGTCCCTCCTACTTTTAAACTCAGCCTTAAGCCTCTCTTATGTAGCTGTAGATCCTCACTTCATGATTTCATATTAATCTCTGTAGTCGAAATGGGAACATTGGCGCAAGACTGAGAAACTCCAACACTTGAATTATTTTATACTGCCATAGAATCAGTATGCCATAGAATTCAGCCCTTCTAGGAAAAAAGAAGGAATGTCATGATGTACAAATACTATAATTCATAGTATTTGGAAACTGCTAGTCATTTAAACAACTGTTTCTTACGCTGAAAAGTTTTCTTCTATTACGTGAATTTTTACTAACTTAACTAGGTGAAGGACATGGTCTCTGAAGAGACATTGGAGTACTTGTTTTGTGGGACAAAGATTCTAGTTTTTAGAGTCAAAATCAAGTTTGTATCTGATAGAACTTATCTTAGTACCCCACCTCATAGAAATGGAAGTGTTCAAACGTTTTAGCTTAATTAGGTACTTATTAATACTTGTTGCTAAACGGCATGTTTATATTTATTGATTTTTTTTCCATTTCAGACATTATCTCTTGCTCTTCTGTGGAAGAGGAGGATTTCATTTCTTCTTTCGCCTGTCCCTACTACTCACATGAATCCTCATCTCCCATCTTTTCAATTGGTTAAATCGTAATTCAAGTTGGCTGTGTGGTATACTATAAGTGCTTTTCCCTTCCTGCTCAACTTCTTATTTTTCCTATAATTAATAGTTGTCTTATTAATTCATTAATTCATTCTCAAAAGATGTTCAGGCATGTTGGGTAGTCTCTGTTACATCTTCCCATAGAAACTTCTCCTGGAGACTCTTCCTGCTTTAAACTGAACTAGTCTTCTGTTCTTGGAACACAGTTGTCATCTTGGGGTCTTCGGTCATTGTCATTCTGGGTATTTCCTTGGCCTTTTTCCTGTACTGGACATCCTTTTTCCTGTATCCCATGTTTCCTGTTTCTTGGTTTACTTCCTCATTTTGGTGTGGAGCACACTTTCTAGTAGTTTTCTGGAAAAAGGTCATAGAAGGTCAATTCATTGAGATCTTGCTTGTCCAAAAATGTTTTGTTTTCCTACTGCCTGTATAATTGCAAAATAAAGTGTTTTAAATTTATCTTCACACTTGAATCATACTCTATATGGAATTATGGGTTAGAAAGCATGTTCCCCCAGGGTTTTGAGGTCTTCTGGCATTACTCTTGAGAATTTCTAGGTATTCTGATACCTGGTCCTTTGCACATGATCTGTGTATTCCGGAAGCTTGTCCCAGTGTTTGGCAATTTCATGATGATGTTTCTTGGGACTAGTTATCCATTTTGGTAGGTGGTTGATAGGACCTTTAATCATAATAAATTTTTAAAAACCTGTTATTCTGGTCTCAGAAAATTCCACCTTTATAGCTTCTTATCCAGGTTTTGCTGTATCATCCCAGTTTCTTCTATGTCGTTTCTTGCAGTTATGTTTGGTCGCTGTCTTTGCTGTTAGAGACCTTCCTCAGATGCCAGGTGATGCTGACTGATAATTCAGAATAAGATGAAAATGTCCATCAGATACTCTACACGTGTGGATAAGAGAGGTGGGCCTCACTGAAGGCTGAGCTGCCTGGGCTGGTTAGTGGGTGGGGACGGAGGCCCATGTCAACACCTGTTTATGTCTTTCCTCTTAGGCTGATTGTGTTTCCTGCGGAGGGAAAGCAAAGAAGAGGCCCGGGTCTCTGCACCTTCGGTTGGTGGTGTTCTCTGAACTCTGCTGTTTTCCACGATGGCCCTGTTGTCAATGGTGCTGGTATTCGCAGTCCAGAGCCTTCTGATACCTCTCCAGGAAACACATTTCTAGTTGGGTGCAGGGGTGAGAGGGAGCAGTCGCCCCACTGCAGGGCAGGAATCTGGGCAACCTGCCTGCTGCTTTAACAGACTTTCAGTCCATGGCTCCACTACCAGAAGCACTTGCTGCTGCCAATCTTGAGCCACCTAGGGATTCCATTGTATGGTCTGGTTGATTCTTGTCTTGGGATGGCCAGTTGGGGTTTCCATTTCCTTGGGTCTGCTAAATCGTTCAGCATTTA